CTCATCTCTGCTAACTGTAATATTGAGCTTCTTTGGCTTCTTGTTTCCAGAACGAGTCCAATAATTTATCGCATCCAAGAATTTAGCCAAATAAGAGCTCCATCCCTTAAAAATATCTCTTAAATCAGCCAATGATATGTAATTTATCATGCTGTCATATACTATTGCCTTAAGGGATGGGATCTGAAGCTCGACGAGAAGCTAATGTTTACGTTCCAAAACAGGGATAAACACCTGCAATCATAAGTAATAATTCATTCATTTGCGCACTTATTTATGAATACCTTTAACTCAATCTAAAATAAACACTAACCTTATCGACCTCCCCCATGCAGGATAAGTTTAGCTTATCCATTGCCCAACGCAAACGATTCATCTCGTTGATTCTTCAAGTGAACGGCGTTAAAAGACGTCGGCATAATTGTATATCGTGTATTTCTTTTATTTTCCTTAAGTTTCCTAATTATTAGAAGACGTGACACCCACGCATCGATATGCTGTTTTAAAAAAAAGACATATATTAGTAACTTACATAAATTTAAAAAAATAATCAAATTAAAATATAAGAAAATATAGACTTACCCCTCCATCGAAATAGCCATTGTCTTCGACCCCTAATAATACGCCCCACCAAGACCGATCAAGCAACAAATAGATATCATCGTTGAGCTTGCATATGTCAGTGAAACACCCCTGGCTCCGCTCATGTAGATAAAAATCAACTGCGGTCTTAGCCCAAAGGGTGTTATCCAGAATTGTGTCCGGTAGTTGTTTCCTCTCCACTTCAGATACTGGTATGGTACTGGCCGGTAACTCATACGAGAGCCAACTTGAATCCATCATGTCCGGCACGTCAGAGGGTTTCTCAAGAATCCTACATATGACGCCATGTGAATCGGGCTCTTGAATGGTGGGAGGGACCTCTTCAACGATGACAATGGCCTCTTGAACAGTGGGAGGGGACTCTCGAGGAATGATAGGGCCTCTTCAACGATAGGAGTGGACTCTTGAGGGATGACAGGCGAGTCGGCTTCTTCTTGCGGTGTCTTCGCACTATTGGGGTATACGGAGACTTAATAGCACGTGCACGTCGTCTGATGCGTGAACTCTGTCGTGCAAGAAAAACCCGACGTAAAGCATCCACCTTATCGGTCCGCTAAATAATTAAATAAAAATATCAATAAATAAACAGACATGATATTTAAACAGTGAAAACAAAGACAAATATATTTCAAACTTTCAACCAAAAGACAAAACAAAGACAAATACTAACTTCACAGTGTTAAAGAATACACAGTTCAGCAGAATTGGCAGCAACCGAATAAATTTACTTCAACCAAAAGACAAAACAAAAAGACAAATACTAACTTCACAGTGTTAATAAACAGTTTAGCAGTATTGGCAGCAACCGAATAAATTTACTAAGCAATCTAAGTGAAATGGTTAATTTAAGTGAAATTACGAGTAAATTTATCATCAAGTTAAATATGGAAAATCTTAAACTTACCTCGTTGCGTAGAGTATGAACCTCATTCTGCAACGATACTACCATCTCACGTAGAGCGGCAACCTCACCACGTAAAGTAGACACCTCCACACGCCATACACCATCGTTATCGCGTAGAGTACCAATCTCCTCACGCAAGGCATTGACCTCATCACGTAACTCCCTTGACTCATCCCGTGGAGGTGGAGAACAGGGAGATAGAAGTCGTGGCATCTTTTCCGGTCGCCTATCATGAGGTGATGGTGGAGAAGAGGCTCGATGATGTGACGGGATAGGTGATGGCTCTCGTTGTAGAGGTGTATAGTCGGGTCGATCAGGTGATGGCTCTGGGTAAGGTGATGGATCTCGAAGTGGAGGAAGTGGAGGCTGCTCATCATTCGTGCCATCAAGAAAACGCTGACTAGCTTGCCACCAATCAGTGGCAAGCTCAGCCTCCGTGGGTGTCAGTCTCATTAATGGAACGTTGGCCTCCTAAAAATATAAAAACTCAAACAAAGTTAAACGTCTACTATTAATAACTTGTTTATATATGATAGTATTTGTGTTAACTTACATTATTTATTGTCGCATATGGTATTAAGTCTTCCCAATCCAACAGACGTTTCCTCTTCCAGGAAATAGCCCTGGGAATATCATTTGAAGTTTTTATTGCATATGTCTTCATGGCGGGAAAGGCCTCGAATATCCAAATCTACAAACAATATAATAACAAACATTAGTAATTGTTAAATAATTAATTATAATTTTGAAAACATTATATAGAAATTCTTACCTTAAAGGCCCAAACAAAGCCTGACAAAGTGTATTTCGACCCATCGCCCCGCAAACTTTTGCGGTCATCAAAGGCAGACGACAACTTAGTCCAGGTAGCTTTCCATATATACGAACCCCACGGAAACAGATTCCATGCATTTAGGTCCTCTACCAATAATATTAGCTCCTGAGGAATAGGTTGTCTGGCCTCTCTGCCTAAAAAGCCGGCATACAAAAGTAGTAGAAGGCATACTCGACAACATCGACGTCATTCATCCGAGTAAAACCATCTTTCTTATTAAACATTTCTTCATGTCGTCGACGTGTAAGTTCGGCTTCTCTATTGACTCATCAGGAAAAACCCTGGATAACCATGATGGGCGGGTGATATGACGAGTGTACCGGCCTACATCATCGTGTCCGAATCGTAGACCAGTGATTAAGCAGAACTCCTTCCGCCCAAAACAAGTATACGCCGTGGAAAATGAAACCATATCTCTTCCTCACCACGTTGTATACTGTCGGGTAGATCGCTAGTCATGGTCTGAAGCCACAAATGGGTCAAATTAGCATCTCCACTCGGATGCTGTACTCTCAGCCATGGCCCGAAGCAGGTTTCCTCAAACAATTTTCTTTGTGCAGGTGAAAGCTTCGAAGCAATTGTAGTGGCTAGGCTAACTTTATTCCTTAATGTCAATGAAGCCGAAAAAAAATTCTACAAAACAATAAACATACCAAGTTAGATATACCAAAAACTACACTGTGAAGATATACCAAAACAATAAACATAAATAGTAGTTTATTCTTGAAACTAAAATTTGCAACACTGTTTTGTCTTTTGGTTGAAATGAAAATCGCAACGAGATAATGAGAATCGCAACGCGAAAATGACTATCACAACGAGAGAATCGCAACGCGAAATGACTATCGCAACGAGAGAATCGCAACGCGAAATGAAAATCGCAATCGTTGCGATTTTTATTTCGCGTTGCGATTCTCTCGTTGCGATAGTTATTTCCGCGTTGCGATTTTCATTCTCGAAACTATTCTTCTTCTGCATTACTTCAACCAAAAGACAAAACAAAGACAAATACTAACTTCACAGGCTAAACAGTTTAGCAGTATTGGCAGCAATCGAATGAATTTAATAAGAAATCTAAGTGAAATGGTTAATCTATTATTGAAATTACCAGTAATCTTATCATCAATCTCAATATGAAAAACCTAAAATAATGCAAAATTTTCAAAATAAAAATAAATAAAAAACTAACCCTCGGAGGTTGATTTTCCATTTCTGAATGATTGTGAGGGATTTTTGACTGTGAATGGTTGTGAGGGATTTCGCCGGCGATGGGGACGGAAATCTTCGGAGATGGGGACGGATTTCGCCGTAGAGAGTGAGAGATGGAGATGAGACTGAGTGTTGTGATTTTAGGTTTGAGGTTATGAGTTGCGATTACTGTGGACGGTTCAGTTTCCGATTTATTAAGAAAAAATTAGTGTTTGGAATTTGAAAAAAAAAATACGCGTTAATACGAATGGCGCTATGTAAATCACATTGCGATAGTAAGATTCGCATTGTGATTTACGTATTCGCATTGCGATTTTCCTAATTCGCATTGCGATTTACTTAATCGCGTTGCGATTTACGTATTCGCATTGCGAATTATGAAAATCGCAACGCGAATACGTAAATCGCAATGCGAATTAGGAAAATTGCATTGCGATAGTCAGTATCGCAACGCGAAATTGGAAAATCGCAACGCGAAATTGGAAAATCGCATTGCGATAGTCATAATCGCGTTGCGAATCTGGAAACTGATTTGCGATAATGGAGATCGCGTTGCGAATTAGCGATCGCATTGCGATTTTGTTGGTCATTTTGGCAAATCCGAAAAAAATTGGTTAAAATCGTATATTATATGGGATTTTTGGTCACTGAGGTTATTTTCTCTATACAAAAAGCCTAACTAATTAACTAATTAGCTAACTATCTAATTAACTGTTTCGAATAACCTGAAAGGAAAAACCCCATAAATGTACGTGTATGAGATAATACTCCGAAGTAAAAAGGATACTGAAACAAAATGGAACAGCAACGTTAATGTTAAAGTGGTAAACGACAAATTCATATTAACAAAATCCCTATTCGAGAGAAACAGGAAAAACAATTAGGTTTAAGGCTAAAAATGAAACTTGGCGTTTGAGCAATGCAGCAGTCGAGAGAGCTTTTTGCTTCCACAATGGAAAATTCACAACGTTTTGGAACTTAGCCTGAATTTGTTTATAACATTGAAATGACGTGGGTGCTGTATGATATATGCACCACTACTCACTGACCCATTCATGGTGGAGTCCCCTTTATGCTTCTCTTCCAAAAGAATATCTCCAAAATAGGTAAAATTTTCTATCAAAATCTGCATCTGTTAGTTTTGGGAAAGGTTCCATGACATTAATCAGAAACGAAAGAACAATTAACAAATTCTTTGAAATAATATAGAAACAAGAAGAAGAAGAAAACAGCCAATGAAGAATCAATGCCAGGGTCCCTCAACTGAGAAATAATCAAATAACTAAAACAATATGATATTGATTAGTCAAAAAAATGGAGTTGCCAATCATTTCTTCCCATATATTATAAAACTTTATACTCTTATCTCCACATGAGAGACGTCTAGAGAACTTGTCTACAGTATTTCAGAAGAGTTTCAAACACTATAAAATGGGTTTATCTTCTTACTTAACATTACATCCTTCTTCTTCTCTGTCTCTCTTTCAATGTCATCAAGAATGGGAGAGCCTCTCATTGTTGTAAGAGTTATAGGAGAAGTTGTTGATTCTTTCATTCCTAGCATTAAAATGTCAGTCACTTTCAAGGACAAGCAAGTCTTTAATGGACATGAGTTTTATCCTTCCACTGTTGCCACCAAACCTAGGGTTGAGATTCAAGGTGGTGATTTGAGAACTTTCTTCACTCTGGTAACTGCCTCATAAGCCCCTTGTTCTCTTTCTGGTTTATGTTTTTGGTGTGTGTAAACCTGGGTTTTTACTGTTCAACTTCAAACATGGTGAGTTGGTGTCTATTTTTGTTGCAGGTCATGACGGACCCTGATGTCCCTGGACCTAGTGATCCTTATTTAAGGGAGCACCTGCACTGGTACAGATATTCTACAACTCTTAACAATTATAACATACATACATAAATATATATATTTCAAGATTTTCATAAATTTGAGAAGTCTATAAGAATCATTTCCGCCAATCCTATTTACAAGTCTTTCTGATACTTGAAGATTATTGAAAAGGGAAAGCAACAACCAGTCCAAATGCAATTCCATAAAAAGGTTCACTGTTGAGATATAGGATACCTTGATGAAAGTCGGTAGAGTTTACCAAAGTGGCTCTGAATCCAGAATTTTTTTTTCCTTCAACTTTCTTCCATGACCACCACCATAGCCGTGTGGGGATGCAAACTAGCGTTGAAAAGCAAAGCTTGCATATATTATATAATAATCAAAATAATAAACTTATTGCCATGTCAAGTCATGTCTTTAATAGTAGTGTATAAAACCAAAGTTCATTACTTCTTCAACTCTGTAATATTCAAGTCTGCATGTGTGGAAGATCAAAGAGTGTTAGTTACTGAAAAAGCTGCAAACAGATAAAGCAGAAAATAAGAGCTCTCGGAATCTGACAGTTCCATTTGGTTTGGTCCGTTTGGACCATTTAACAGGATTGTGGCTGACATTCCAGGCACGACAGATGCCACATTTGGTAGGTTTGTCCGTGTAATTAAGTACTTCTTGGTCTATTTACGACAGATATAAGACCCCCAAAAAAAAAACAGTGATCTCTTTTCTTTTTTGGTATTTGGGGCATTTTATCAAACAGGAAGGGAAGTTGTGAGCTATGAGACCCCAAGGCCAGACATAGGAATCCACAGGTTCGTCTTCGTTCTTTTCAAGCAGAACCGTCACCAGCTAATAAGCCCGCCTTCTTCAAGAGATCGTTTCAGCACCCGAGATTTTGCTGCTGAGAACGATCTAGGCCTGCCTGTTGCCGCTGTTTATTTCAATGCACGAAGAGAAACTGCTGCAAGAAGACGCTAATTAAATCTTCAGGAATCAGCAGAAAATGCTCCATTTCAATTGAAGAAGAAGAAGAAAAAAAAAACTGAGTTTTTAATGCAAATTGTGTGGTTTGTTCTAAAAATATAGGCTTGCAGTACCACTACTCTGAATAATGCAAACTTGTAATTACATATTGCATGGCATCTTCCAAGGCTAACTAATCTTTCTTTGTATGTTCAACAATTTTGATATTTCAAATCATACCTGATTAGTATCCTAGCTATCACTTTTATTTTGTTGTCACTCAACTATTTTTAAAAAAAGTTATACCCAACGTTACCTTTTGGTGATTCACCGTTAAAAAATTAATAGAACTATTGACGTGATATTTTTTATTTTTTTCAATGATTACATGGCATTACCTTGACACATCAGCATTACTGTTAATTTTTTAACAGCGTGTGATCAAAATGAATCCAAAACTAAACGTTATGTATGATTTTGAAGAAGAAAAAAGAGTTGGGTGACCAAACCGGAACAAAAGTGATAGTTGTGTAGTAAACGTGTTTATCTAAAAAAATGGGTAAACTACATATTTAGTCACCCAACTATTCCCATGATTCCATTTTGATCACCCACTATATTTTTCAAAATCATATCTAAAGTTACATTTTGGTCACCTGTAGGGACGGATGCAGAATTCTATGTTAGGTGGACGAACTTATAAAATTTTAGAGGAGAGTTAACTTGTAATTTTTAAGGGGACGAAACATATTATCAATAGAAAATACACAGAAAAAATCTAAAATACAAGAGAATTTGAAAATTTTAGGGGGGAGATTGTCCCTGCCCCAACCCCTTGGTCCATCCCTGACGGTAATATTGATATATCACCATAAGTTAATGCCAGGTTATCATTAAAAAAATTTAAAAAAGTATCATGTCAATAATTTTATTTATTTTTTTAATAATAGATGATTAAAACGGAATCAAAACGTAACTTTATATAGATTTAAAAAATAGCCGAGTGGCTAAAATAAAACCACGAATAATTGGATGACTAAAATACGTAATTTACCCCAAAAATCTAGTGAGGTTCTCTCACCATGTGGAAACTCCTTATATTGTTGACCCTTTGTATTTCACTTGAAGTTGGTTCAAGATTGAAACTTTTAAAGTAATTTAATTCTCTATCTTCTCTTTGAGTATTATTTATTTGAAGATTAAATGTCATTCACGAAATTATCTTTTAAGAATGTTGCATCGTTTGATACTTAAGGTTATAACAATATGCTCCTTTTGTTCTTTTAATTTTTTTTATTAATCTAGGGTAAGTAGAATGTAATATATATTCAAAGATAATTTTCAACTTCTCAACATTGAACACTCACACTCCTGACATCTATGATGCTCGAACCCCTCAAGGAATAATAATCATTTTTTTACCACGAAAGTCACTTAATTCGTGCACACTTTTATATTTGAATATCTATTAGAACATTCCTTTTGTTGCTTTAGAATATCTATTAACATGCACACTTTTATATTAGACTCTTAACTTTTTAGCACTATTATTCTTTGTGTTTGGGCATCCCATTGTTTTAAGATTACTTACCTTCATGTTACATCTCAAAAGAAATCTTAGGTTGGCATATCATTACGATAACGTCTCGATTTTTTTTAATATTATCTTCTGAAAAATCTGATAAAACACTGAGAGATGAATGAACGATAATTATCTGAAAAGTGATAGTGATCGTGAAATTTAACATCAAATTTTGAAATTACGAGAACCAATAAGATAGTGACTATTTTGCAATTATGAGTTTTAAATATGTGCCTTATTGATTGTTTTTTTTTAAATTTTTAAATTTGACTTGCTATTATATAAATTTTATTATTGATAAAAAATATGAAAAAAAAATCTATTTTAATTTTTTAATTTATTTAATTGTCTAAAATATTTAACATAATCATGGTCAAAGATTAAAATTTTTAACTTTTAATAAGTTAATGAGGGACATATTTAATGGGACAAAAAGGAGTAATATTTTTGGATAAAGTATACAAATGGTCCATTGATTATAGGACATTGTTTTGTTGAGTACCCCGACTATTAAAAGTTACAAATGATCACTTGATTATCCATATGTTCCAAACTTGTCATTTTCCGTTAAAAAATTGATGGTCGTCTGAACTGGACGTTAACATACTGATTGTGCATGATAAAATCGTATTTTAATGATGCCTACTGACACCGTCATTGCTTTCAAACATCGACTCGATGATATAATATTTCAAGTATTGGCTCGACAGAACGAAGAGTCTATAAAATACAGCTCAAACAATTCTAGGATCATATTTTATTATACCACAGTTTAACGTGCACTTAGATAACTGCTAATTTTTTAACGAAAAAAGATGAATTTGGAACATATAAATAGTCGAATGATCTTTTTATAACTTTTAATATTGACGTACTAAATAAAATAATATCTTATACTTAAAAAAATTATTTTATAACTTTTAATAATAAATAAATTAACAAAATAATATTCTAATAATTAATGTACTTTATTTTTTTTCTAATTATGACGGTAGGCGTAGTAGTTAAACATTGGACACCAATTAATGGGTCCTAGGTTTCTTCTTGCATCTCATTGGTTTCTTAATTTCTTTGGTGTTCTCTTCGGACTTTCCTAATAATACATTCAATAGGTTTTGTTTGAAAAGTCCCCCAAAATGGCAGCGGCAGGAGGAGTTAATAGGAAAATATCAGCCGCTTCAGCTCGAGCTCGCACTAGAAGAGCCAAGCAAAACGCTTCTTTCAAGCTTCCTTCAGGTCCCTTCTCTTTTTTTTTTTGATCTAATTTGGGTTCTCTCATAATTGTAGGATCCAGCACTTTCTTTCATCTGGGTCACTTTACTTTGTAAGAAAGTTGAAATTTTTGGATCTGGGATTTTCATTTCTTGCAGATTCTTAACATATTGACTCATATAAGATTTGTGAATTTTATGACTTCGTCTCTCTTTGTTCCTATTTTTCAATTTTCACTGTTAAAGCCTTGATCTTGGACGTTGACTGGATGTAAAAACTGAGTTCATTTATGTTTTGGATGGAGAGGAGCGAGTTTGAGTTAGAATTAGAATGATAATGAAACTCATGAGATGGGATTCCATTTTAAGGTGGCTGATTAATGGAACGGGATTCTTTCATGCATTGTCTTGTTTCACAGATTATTTCAAATTCATTTCTCCACTGTTATAACCCAAAAACTGCAGGGATTTTCACAAAGATACTACTGGTCTTGTCTGCTGGAATTCTGGCATGGATTTATCAGGCTATTCACCGCCTCCCCCTAAGACATGCGGCTCTCCTGATGGTCCACCTGTTTCCGCGTCGAGAATAAAGCTGAAGGACGGAAGGCATTTGGCCTACAAAGAGCACGGCGTTCCACGAGATGCCGCAAAGTATATAATTGTCTATGTCCATGGCTTTGATTCTTGTAGGCATGATGCTGTTGTTGCCAATACCTTGTCACCGGTACTTGGTTGTTCATTTTTCTATGTTGTGCTGCATACTCATGAGCTTTCAACTATAACATGTTTGAAGTAAGTGTCCTTGAACTTGGTTCTTTGTTTCTACCAAGAAATTGTTGAATCTCTTGGGGTCTACATTGTTTCTTTCGACATGCCCGGTTATGGAGAGAGTGACCCTAATCCAAAACGAACCGTTCAGAGCTTGCTGATCAATTAGGATTAGGATCCAAGTTTTATGTAATCGGATTTTCTATGGGGGGCTGTTGAAAAGTCAAGTGGCAAGTGGCCAACTTGGCCAAACTTTCGGTGAAATAAATTGGTAGCAAGTTGGTTGAAAGTTGGCAGCTGAAATGGTGAAAAATTGGTAAGGAAAAATTACCAAATTTAGTCCATATACTTTAGGGTATTTACAACATTAGCCCTTAAGCTTCAACTATAAATACTCTAACCCATTTAGCTTCAAAAACATCTTAAATCATTCTAGCTCTCTCTCAATACTAGAGAAATTAAAGAGTTTTTTTAGAGCGATTTTCAGGGTGTAATTGAGTTGTGAGTTGTGAGTGTTTTTTATAAACACCTGTAAATTTTCTCTCTTTAGTAAAATATCTGCAGCAGTCTAGAGACGTAGGCATAATTGGTCGAACTCCGTTATTAATTTCGGGTGTTATTATTCCGCTTTTATTTTACATTCTCATTAATCTGGTTATAGGGAAATTACTCGTTTAATTTCGCAACAACTGGTATCAAGAGCTTTTGGTAGTGAATTTTGTCAGTTTTTTTGTGATGTTACTATTTATGTGAATAATAAATTTCGTTAATAGTAAAATTTGGTCGGCGATACGAGTTTGTCGATGGAGGTATTCTAATACACGGTGGTTCGCAGGAATTGTTAGAAACGATCCAAAAGAAGCCAGATTCGAGTGGGAGCGATGGCTGCAGACGAAATGAATGTGAAAATTGAGAAGTTCGATGGTGCAGACTTTGGTCTGTTGGAAGATGCAGATTGAAGATTTTCTGTACCAGAAAAAACTATATCAACATTTCTCAGGAAAGCAACCAGAGGGCATGAATGATGAAGATTGGGATCTTCTCGACAGACATGCCCTCGGAGTTATTCGACTGATGTTATCCCGCAATGTTGCTTTCAACATAGCAAAGGAAAAGACCACGGCGGGTTTTTTGGTGGCTCTCTCCAGTATGTATGAGAAGCTATCGACCTCAAACAAAGTTCACTTGATGAGGCGATTATTCAATTTGCGGATGGCGAAAGGGGCATCGGTGGCTCAACACCTAAATGAACTCAACACAATCACAACCCAGTTGAGTTCCGTGGAAATTGAAATTGATGATGAAGTTCGAGCTTTAATTCTCTTATAATCTCTACCAGACAGTTGGAATGCTACTGTTACAGTAGTAAGCAGTTCGTAGGGAAACAATAAATTAAAATTTGACGATGTTCGAGATCTGGTATCGAGTGAAGAAATTCGACGAAAAGAATCGGGTGAAGCATCAAACTCCTCAGCCTTGCACACGGAGTCTAGAGGGAGAAGTTCAGAAAGAAAACTAAATCGTGGCAGATCAAAATTTAGAATGAGAAAATCAAGAACGGGAAAGAAAGATTTTAACTGTTATAATTGCGTATTAAAGGGTAAATTTAAAAGACATTGCCGAGCACCGAAGAAATATATCAGTTCATAGAAATCTGCCAACGTGACAGAGGAAACAAGTGATATCATGATTCTAAGAGTCAACAGTCCGATTGAATCACGGATCTTGGATTCAGGGGCATCTTTCCACGCCACCTCATGCCAAGAAATCATAGAGAACTATGTCAGTTGTGATTTTGGGAAGGTTAATCTTGCTGATGATGAAACCTTGAAGATCGTCGGAAAAGGAGACATCCGATTAATGTTACCAAACCAGACCACCTGGAAGCTAAAAGGAGTGAGACATATTCCTGACCTCAAAAGAAATTTAATTTTTTAGGACAGCTTGATGGAGAAGGATATTGTACAACCTTTTCAGGCTGTGAATGAAATATTACCAAAGGAGCACTTGTCATTGCTCGTGATAAGAAGACTGATACTCTCTATATAACCTCAAACTTGGAGAATATCATTGCAGTAGCAGATGCTGATGGAAAATCAAACCTATGACACCAAAGGTTTGGCCATATGAGCGAGAAAGGGATGAAGACATTTTTGTCAAAAGGGAAACTACCGGATCTAAAGAGTATAGATGTCGGACTATGTGAGGATTGTATCTTTGTCAAACAAAAGAAAGTCAGTTTTGCAAAGATTGGTAAGACACCCAAGGCTAAAAAGTTAAAGTTGGTTCATACTGATGTATGGGGACCATCTTTAGTTTTATCTCTTGCAGGCTCACTATATTATGTTACCTTCATCGATAATTCTACAAGGAAAGTATGAGTTTATTTTCTGAAGAAAAAATCAGAAGTCTTTGATACCTTCAAAAAATGGAAGGCAATGGTGGAAAATGATAATGGGTTTGAAAGTCAAGCGGTTAAGGTCTGATAATGGAGGAGAATACAGAAATAGTAGATTCAGAGAATTTTGTGCAAACAATGGGATCAAGATGGAGACAATAATTCCCATGACACCGCAGCAGAATGGCGTAGCAGAGCGCATGAATAGAACTCTGAATGAACGTGCCAGAAGCATGAGGATACATGCCGGCTTGCCCAAATTGATATGGGCTGAAGCTATCAACACTGTAACTTACCTGATCAACCATGTGCCATCAGTTCCCTTGGATGGTGGAATACCAGATGAAGTTTGGAGCAAAAAAGAAATAAACCTTTCACACTTAAGAGTGTTTGGTTGTATTTCTTATGTACACATAAATTCTGCTGAAAGAAGTAAACTTGATGCTAAGTCTAACAAATGTGTCTTTGTTGGTTATGGTGGTGATGAGTTTGGTTACCGTTTTTGGGACTATGAAAATCGAAAGATCATTAGAAGCAGAGATGTCATTTTCAATGAGAATGTGATGTATAAAGACATGTTAACCATAAAATCAAGTAGCTCCAATAGCGAAGCTAAAATAAAAGAATTTGTTGAGTTTGAGGAGATTTCTGGAAATGATGTTCAGATCAGTCCTGAAGCAGTTTAAGAAGAACCAGACACCAAAACTGAGACTTTCCTCCAGAATTCCTAAACCAACCCAACGTTATTCGCCTTCTTTGCACTACTTATTGCTGACCGACAATGGTGAACCAGAGTGCTATGATAAAGCAATGCAGGTGGAGGATTCAGTCAAGTGAGAGTCTTCCATGAAAGATGAGATGGACTCGCTTATGTCAAATCAGACATGAGAATTAGTTGAATTACCACCAAGCAAAAAAGCTCCTTAACAAGTGGGGTTTACAGGATCAAAGAAGAGCACGATGGGAGCAAAACACTACAAAGCAAGATTGATTGTCAAAGGTTTTCACCAAAAAGAAAGTATTGACTATAATGAAATTTTCTCTCCAGTCGTGAAGTTATTTACAATCAGACTGGTGTTGAAAATTGTAGCTGCAAAGAATCTACATCTTGAGAAGTTAGATGTAAAGACATCTTTCCTTCATGGTGATTTGGAGGAAGAAATCTATATGAGGTAGCCAGAAGGCTTCATAGAGACAGACAAGAAAAACCTGGTATGTAGGTTGAAGAAAAGCTTGTATGGTTTAAAACAAGCTCCTAGACAGTGGTACAAGAAGTTTGATAGCTTTATAGGTAGTAGTGGTTTTACCAATGCCAAGCAAATCATTGTTGCTACATCAAAAAGTTCGACAACAACTTCATTATTTTATTGTTGTACGTTGATGACATGCTCGTTGCAGGCTCAGACATGCAAGAGATTATAAACTTGAAGCAAAAATTGTCGAAGCAGTTTGCAATGAAAGATCTGGGCACTACAAAGCAGATTCTTGGGATGAGGATTAAGAGAGACATAAAGTCGAGGACTTTGATGTTATCACAGGCTGAGTACATCAACAAAGTACTCTTCAGATTCAACATGCAAGATGCTAAACCAGTAAGTACACCTTTAGGTGTTCATTTTCCAAAGAACAATCACCAAAGATGGAGGAAGAACGTGCACACATGGTAAAGGTGTCGTATGCCTCAGTAATTGGAAGTCTGATGTATGACATGGTTTGTACTAGACCAGATATTGCTCAAGCAATGGGAGCTATTAGCAAGTACATGAATAATCCGAGCAAGGTACACTGAAAGCAGTCAAATAGATCCTCAGATATCTACGGGATACCACAAACAAAGCACTTTATTTCAAAGGTGGAGATACGATACTGACAGGCTATGTAGATGCTGACTTAGCTGGAAATGTTGATATCAGAAGAATCACTACAAGGTATGTCCATACTCTAGGAGGTACCGCAGTAAGTTGGGTTTCTCAACTATAGAAGATAGTTGCTCTCTCTACAATTGAAGCAGAATATGTCGCTGTTACGGAACCCATCAATGAGATGATTTGGCTCCAAAGTTTCTTGGAAGAGTTAAGTAAGAAACAAGAAAACAATGTCTTGTATTGTGACTGTCAAAGTGTTATCCATCGAGCAAAGAATACGTATTTTCATTCCAGGACGAAGCACATACAATTGCGATATCATTTTATTCGTTGTCCTCTGGAAGATGAGATTTTGAAACATGAAAAGATTAGTGGAGCTTAAAATCCGACAGACATGTTAACAAAGACGGTGACTACGAACAAACTGAAGTTGTGTTCAACTTCAGTTGGCATGCTAGAGTAACAAGACCAGAAATGTTGCATTGATCGAGGTGTGAAGACAGATTAAAATCAGTCTTCAAGTGAGAGATTGTTGAAAAGTTAAGTGGCAAGTGGCCAACTAGGCCAAACTTTCGGTGAAATAAGTTGGCAGCTGAAATGGTGGAAAATTGGCAAGGGAAAATTACCAAATTTAGTCTTGTACTTTAGGGTATTTGCAAGATTAGTCCTTAAGCTTCAACTATAAATACTCTAACTCATTTAGCTTCAAAACCATCCCAAATCATTCTAGCTCTCTCCCAAAACTAGAGAAATTAGAGAGTTTTCTTGAGAGCAATTTTCAGGGTGTAATTGGGTTGTGAGTTGTGAGTGTTTTTTATAAACACTTATAAATTTTCTCCCTTTAGTAAAAGATCTGCAGCAGTCTAGAGACGTAAGCATAATTGGTCAAACTCCGTTATCAATTTCTGGTGTTATTATTCC